CCTGCAGTTTGTGTCCCTAAGTCTGTGTCTGACAGTCATTTTAGTTCAGTGTTTTTTTTTTCTTTTCTTTTACTGGAGTCTGTCACACAGTGATATCTGTTATGGTCTGACCCCTCAGCCAGGGCATCCCGAGCATATAATACTGCAGAGGCTAGTGTACATGACAGTGAATAAAACATGGAAATCAAAGAAACATGATTTCATTCCTCCCAGAAGCAGAGAATGCGAATTGTGCAGAAGTCTGTGCAATTAAAAAAAATAGAAATAAAAATCAGGCATCTTAGCTGATGGAGAGATGGGTGTCGGGCTGTATGTGGGCAAAAGTATGTAAATAATACAGCACTTCAGCAGCGAGCTCCGTGCCAAAGCCAGAAGGGAGGCCGCCGGCATAATGAAACGGGCAGCGGCTCTCTGGTGACCTGCGGAGACCGAGTTTCACGGTGACCTCCAACTGACCTCAGCCTTTTCCCCAAGCTCTGTGGTGAAGGTTCCGGAGCTCGGTGTCACAGGGAACCCAGACACCGGCCTGTGTGGATATGCGTGCGGCTCGTCTGTTAAAATAAATTTGCTGGAGTGTTGTTACAGCGACGTTCTGAGTTACGGGCTCTGCGTCGGTGCGCTGGCAGGCAGGCGAGGTGTTGCCCCCCCCCCCCCCAGGAGCTCATAATATACGGGAGGCAGTGCGCGTGGAAACCGGCAAGCTGGCCAAAGCTTGAGCCGACTCTGCTGAGCCCCCCAGTGAGAGAATAACACGTGCTCCAGGGATCGGCAGGCATGTGGTCGCTGGCAGGGGTGGGGGCAGGGGGGGGTGTGCAGCTTCAGAAACACAGAAAACGGGGTCATTTTAAGACAGTGTGTGGATAATGTGTGTGCATTTGTACTCTGTGTGTGTGTGGATTATATTTATATTACATTGTGGGGACCTAATGTCCTGTTATTTTTACATTGTGGGGACCATTTTCAGGTTCCCACAAAGATCTGTGAATGCAATCAAAAAAGTAAAAATGCCAAAAGTTCATTATTTTGTTAGGTTACTTATGTGTAAGGTTAGGGCTGGGTAGGGGTTAAGGTCGTCATGTTGGGATTAGAGTAAATGGAGAATCCCCACGACCCTGTATGCATGTTTCTGGGTGTGTTGGTGCTTCCTGTGTGTTTATGTCGTATTTATGTCTCTGAGCTGTCAGTGTGTGTGTTGTTTGTCTGTATGGCTTGCGTGCTTGTGTGTGTGTCTGTCTGTGTGTGTGTGTGTGTCTGTCTGTGTGTGTGTGTGTGTGTGTGTGTGTGTGTAATGCTTGCTGGTACACAGTCATGCAGCTGCTGTATGCCTGTGTAGTCATGCGTAGGTCTCCAGGAGGTGCAGCAGTGATTGGCGAGTGGGCAGGTTAGTTGACGTAATGAATAGGTAGGAGGCTCTGCTCGCTCTGTTCAGGGAGTTGCTGCATCCTCCGCCTTATCTGGCTCCCCATAGTTCTGGCGAGACGCGCCTGAAAGCACTCAGCTCCTAGTGTGTAAACTCTGTTTCCCACACGCCGGCTTGTAGCCACTCGCAGGCACTGGCGTACGAGCAGACAGATAAACACACATGGGGATTCCTAGATACACGTGACGACCTCCTACGAATGTCGTAAACACCCTTCCTTCACTTAGCTTCGTGACAAATGACCCGATTTGCCTCCAAACCACGAGATGAACTGGCTGGTATGTAAATTAATGAATCACGTCGGCCAGACATGCGCTTGCCCGTCGCCCCGCAAAGCCGAAGCGATGCGTCTGGCCCCGGCTGCCCCTCTCTGACTTCGGGGGCCGCGGCGTGGCGGGGCAGCGGAGGCCGTCGTCCCCGGCGCGTTGAGGGTCTCTGCGGATGGATCACGTCTTCTGCACACACTGTAAAAATGTCAGAAGTGGTTCTCCCGCAGGAGTGTGATGTAGCGCTTAGTGGCGTGCTTTGCATAACACCGCAGAGTTAGTCCCTAAATCTGCCCTGTAAGTACCCTTCATTACGTTTTATTGCCGGCGGCCCGCCTCCTCGCATTCCCCAGCGCTGACGCCATCCCCCCTTGGCTGTGAGCAAGGGGCTCTCCTTTGAAGGAGCCCCCGCTGGCTCTGTCCAGCACTGCTCCGCAGACAAGCTGCGTTTCTCCTAAGAAACGTCTTCTTTCGGACTGTAGGTTCTCCCTAAACGTCGCAGTCGCGGGGAACAGTAATTCGTGATTTCGGCGAAGGCTTCCCCAGGCCGCTTGTTTAGCAGATTTCACGCGGCACAGACGGTCCTCGGGGATCTGAAGAGATCCCTCACGGGGCTTTAGTGTTCCTTTGTCTGGAGAGCTCACTGAGGACGTCCTGGAGAGTGGAGCTCAGCGAGACAAAGGCACAAATCCCTGCAGTTTGTTTTTTGGTTTGCGCTGGCTTGACGTGTAGATTACAGTTGGCTCCGCGTACAGGGAACTGAGATTTGGCGTTGTGCCCTGACCTTAATAGGCACCTAGCGGGTGGCTCTGATTGGCATCTCGGTTGGAAGTCAGGAACCCCCTCCTCTATCCCCCCATGGTCAGATGGCATTTGGCAGCAGAGTGGAGAGGAGAAAGCCATGAGCAGAGAGTATGTCTAATTCCTGCTAACGATGTAAAGCCTTGATCTATTCGGCCCACCACGTGCTGCCCATATAGACACGGCTGTTTCATGCTTTGTGTAAAATCGCAGCGTAATGCAGTTTTGCTGTTGGTAGAGTGAGTTTCGCATTGCTGTATCGTCCCGTCTCGCAATCCTCACTGCCAAAGGAAAACGAGAATTTGAGGAAAGTCTGAAATATGGGTATGAATATTTTTGTAACAAGTTTATTTTGAATGTTTAATATTGTGTCTTTTAAATTACTGAAGATGGCTTTCAAAGGTACAGCAGTGAAGCACTGAAAATCAGCTAGAGATATAGATACTCGTGATGGAAAGGTTTGTGTCAAATGCATCTGAAGGACAGGCTCTGCATTGCAAGGATAACAGACTAATCTTTTGTCTCTTGCGTCCATCACTTCTGCTACCCCACCCTGACTGCCGTGTGTCACTGCTGCAGTTCTCCAGACACCCAGAACCCTCAGGGGCTCCTGATTGTAGTGCCAAAGCCTACAGACCCAAACAGAGAGAACCTTTGTTTCTCTTACCCACCTTGGCTGGGAACAGTCTTTTTTTCTTTCTTTTTTTTACAGGGTCTATGTTAATGGTTAAGGTACCATGAAAGATGAATGAATGGCAGGGTTTTCCAGATGAGTTTGAGCCTGTACTGATGTGTGACAGGTAATTATAACCCAGGCAACAACAACGGCTTCAAACAGCAGGTTCTGGGCGGAGTTTCGGTCCTGTTTTATTTCTGTTTGTTTCTCCTGCGTGATGTAGCCAGAAGTCATTATATTTCATCTCGCAGGTGCTTTCGGTGCTACCGCTCTGAGAGAGACCCGCTACCCTATTGGGGCCAGAAAATGCCTTCCGCTGGTGTAGTGTCCCCAGCAGTCCTGTAGACAAAAAATAAATGTAGGTGGGGGTTCTGCATGTCCCCTCAGATATGTCCACCGTGGCAAATTTTTCCAGGCAGTAAATTTTGCCGATATTCTCAGTAGATGTTGCCGAATAATTTTGGGGGTGGTGGGGGTTGGGTTCATTTCTGCAGTTTTACTGCATGAGCCATGCATAGAGCCTTTGCCTGGTCGAGAACAAACTAATTTTGACCTGTGATTTTACAGCATTTAATGGCTACATGCCTGGTCCGCAGTTCCGCCATCCTCCTAAAACGGCATTCAAGGTTACAGTCTCTTTAAAGGCAGTGTTTCCAGACTGTAATAAACAAACGGGGGGGGGGGGAACAAGCAAGCAGATTAACATTGTGTCCAGTAAACTGAGCGTGAAGTTAATTGAAATCTTTCAAGCTTACTTAAAGAAGAATAAAACTTTAATATGTGACTTGCGGAGTGTGTCTCCTCAGAGCTTTCAGACGTTCTGAAACAGCTGTTTCAGGATGTTAGGTCTTTCCCCTGCCACACTTTAATAAATAAATCATGCATTTTAAAATTATTTGTGGAGGCGTGTAATTAAGGAGCAAATTATTAATTTGACAGAGTAAATGTCGCATCTGATGCTGTGAATTGCTTCCAGCCTGGGTGTGGGAAAACCATGCTGTAATGCTGTGAGAAGCTGGGGTTTCCCCTATGCTGAGAACAGCTGGCCACTCCGCGGCGGGTCATGACACTACCCAGAATTCCCCTGTGGTTACTCTGCCTGTTTCCAGATGAAGCTAATTCTGAGCAATTAATCACATCCTTTCCATACTTTAGACATTCCTCACACCCGGGAAAATGCTCTATGGACCCTGTAAGGCCAGCGGGGAAGTGCACCTGACATACATGATGATTTAACATTGTTTCCTGTGTATATTTCAGAACACGGGAATTCTGCACAGTTTATAAAAGTACAAAATATTAGGCGGCAGCCTTGGACACTGAAATGCAGGGAAAGGCTCGCCATCGTCACAGTCTGTTCACACGTTTGGCTGTTAATGCGTTGCTCGGGCTGGGGGCGGGGGCTGGGGGGGGGTTGGGTTAGCTACAGATATTAAGAAGCAGTCATGAAACATGACTTGTGAGACAAAGGTTACCTCTGCAGGTCTAAGAAAGAGGCGACTTCTTGGAGAACAAGGGAATCTCTTAAGCTGCCTGCTATGCATTTATGTGCGTTAAGTTGAAACAGTCTGCTGTCTATTGTATGTTTCTTTAGCAGGAGAATCCTGCCAAGCGGCAGTGAGATACCATGCGTCATGTTGTATGGTATTTCATCTCTAATGTACTTTTGTTCCGAAATGTGAAGCCTTGTTTAATGGATCTGCTCCATGCTGAGATTAATGTCAGAGGGATGAAGTTTGCAGCGGCCGAGAGCAGCTGAAGCGGGGAGATTTCGGAGCTGTGCTTTCCCCGAGAGACACACCCGGTGACCATCCTCTATGCTTCTTTTTCTCCACAGGAATACATGGACTTCCATAAATGTATCGAGGGGCTGGTCAAGCAGTTGGAAGAAGAACGCAGGAATGTCAGAAGGCAAGTGGTGATTTCTCGCTGAACGTTCTCCATGCATCTCCGGTCCGCGCCGACCCTTGCGCAGTCCTACAGAAGCAGACGTGTCACGATGAGGTCACGGAGCTGCTTCTTATCATGTGGCTGGTTGCACGGTCATGCAGAGAAGGCTTCTGTAAGGTGGCCCGCAGCTGTGGGTTTGAGCAGAACTCCTGTGCTGGATTTACACTCACCAGGCGCCTGACTAATTCGTTTGTTCTGGTTTGTGATTTTTATTGACTGGAAGGCCTTTGAGTCAGACTGTTATAGAGGGCTCTGTGTGATATGAAGCCGTTATTCTCTCTGGGACGGAGCGATAGATGCTTAAATGATTAGAGATTATTCTCACAGGCCAGGGGGATGGATACTTAACAGTTGGGTATTATTCTCTTGTGCAAGGGGGTGGATATAAGGGATTACTGATTATTTTGTCCAACCAGGGCGATAGATACTTAGCAAACAGGGATTATTCTCTCAGGGTAGCAGAGTAGATGCCTACACTGTTAGGGATTATTCTCTCAGGGTAGAGGGGTAGATACCTGCACTGTTAGGGATTATTCTCTCAGGGTAGCGGGGTAGATACCTGCACTGTTAGGGATTATTCTCTTTTGTGTGGAAGG